CCACCACATGTGACTGAAAGTTTGGCAAGGACTGCATATCTCGGGCCTCTCCTGGGAGAGAGGAAACCTGGGCCTAAATCAATACAGAGAATAGACATGTTATTTTTAGCCAAGTTTTTAGGATATCAATGTTTTCTTTGCTGGGTTGGCATTAAAAGATTTCTTCATTTCTACAAAAACCCCAAATTCATGTTAACACAAAGACTTCTGGAAAGCAGGAACAAGTCAGCATCTTCTGCAAACCCTGAATGCTGCAACAGCACTCTGCGTCACGCTGTGGACTTACCCAACGCTGCTCGTAATCAGATGGCTGTGTTTTTCCTTCGTCATCCTCATAGAAAGGTAAGCCCTCTCGCCTGGCCTGATGGTACTCCTTCCGTAACTTCTGGATGCGATCAGCATTCACACCACCTGGACAGCCGCTGGGGGGGAAAAAAAAAAAAAAAAAGACAGCTAACTAAAACTCATCTGTACATGTGTATCTTCAACACGCGCCAGATACCCGCTCGAGCCCACACACAAAGTACTCACGCCTGCGAGACGAACGCACTGTGAACCTCTGACCACCCTGACTCGCACAGTAGCTCACATCACCCCTATTTTTGCATTCTTGTATTAATAAAGCTCCTAACTGTGAACTTGACTCCCATTTTCAAAAAAGGCTGTCCCTGTCCAAAGAGCTTACAACTCCAGTACACGACAAGAGACAGCAGATGGATGCAGACAGATGGGGGAGCACAAGGAAACTTTTAACATTCCTAGGAGCAACTATAAATGGCTATCATATTTAAATAATAACGATGATGATGATGATGATGATAAGCTGCCAGAAAAATGTTTCCTTTTGCTCCCACGCTAAATGTGGAATTTCCCTAAAATTACATTTGTTCGAGGTAAAGAATAGACTTTTTTTCCACAAAGCAGCACAGAAAAGGGTCTTATCTCATAAAAAACAACTTCCCTCCCAATTATACAAAAAACTAAAACATCAAGCCATGAAAATACAGGGGAGGCAAAAGAGATGGGAAAGCACACTTTCAAGTCTTGACACCGTTTTTCTAAAGCGCTAATTAGGCAGTAATCCAACAAAGACTTGCTTGTATGCTGAACTGCATGCTCTACAGGCTGCCGGGGTAAAGCTAGCGGAGTTACTCAGTCTGTCAAGTTAAACACACACAAGTCTCTGTGCGTTTGGAGCCTCGCAAGCCTTCCCAAACCTCGCAGCTGGACTTACCCAACTGTGGAAGCTCGTGAACTACCTGGGAAAGATTAACCCTCACCTCCTGCCCCCCCTCAAAAAAATCCCCTCAAATCCCAGAGAATAACACTTCAAAAAACACAGCCACACTGAACACGGATAAATTAAGAGTTTCCCGCAGCTATTTCTAGCCTTGCTCTCGTCAGCACTGGGGTGGATACCGACTGCGTGGCTCAGTTACGTTTACCAGCACTCACAGGGGATTAATGGAAAACTTATTTGTGGCCACTTCTAAACAGATACCAGTAACATCTGGTTGTGGCAGCACATCATCAGATATTCTCTTACTCTGCAACCTTAACTCTGCCCCTCTGGACAGATTTAACCACACGAACCACCCTCCACGGAGCATCTTGTCATACCACCTTCCCCCGCGTCTGCCAGACTCTACGGAAGCCCTTTTATAGCAAACTGAATTTATAAAGGACATATAAAAGACTGGACATAAACCCATCAGTTCAATAATGAATAGTTTCTAGTACCTAATGGCCATTAAGATTGGTGGCTAAATTAGGTTTGAAATTAATTTCCAGGGAAGGGAGATCTCACACAGGGTACAAACGCAACGGAGCCTGCAGCCAGCACTGGCAATGTTTGCTTGCAGCATCAGTATGTTTCCATGAGAAGCGAACACCGGCACGATTTGCTTCCCTGGCTCCTAAGCGATCCGGGCCCCTCTCCTCTGCAAAGCCCCGAGGTCTCAAGCTTCCTTGGCTGATGTACCTAGCTCTTCCAGAGCACAGGAAATTTTTCTCATCATCTGCCAAGACGGTGCAGAAAGCTTGTACAAACTCTGCGGTCTAGTAAAAAAAAAAAAAAAAAAAAAAAAAAAAAAAAGCACATTCTCCCTTTTTCCTCCTGACTTTTTCCACAGCCCTTGTCCTTGCACGTGAACAACTCCATACGGGAAATCTTGTTAACTAGCGCAGAACTGTCTCCAGTTTACAGGATACTGGGATCGAGACTGGCTAATGGGGGATACTACTTCGGACCGTGAACCCTGGAGCACAATGCACGAGCAACGCGATACCTGTGAAAGCCCCTGACTTTACTTGGGCCTACGGAAGAGAGAGTTTAATTAGGGCTGCCACCGTACAGAAAAGGCCCAAAGTGCAATGCTGTCCTTGTCGTTCAGCCAACATCATCGCTCCCAAAGCAGAAGAAGCCGAGAGGGGGAAGCAATTACATACAGGCAGCGCCTGGTTTGAGGCACGCTGCTCTGGCTCCCCGCAGCTCTCTGCAAACTGTATTAGCACCTGTGACCAACGCTCTGATTGCCACATACCCACTCTCTACCTCCAAGTATTTTTTGGCTGAAGAGGCAATCTGAAAATATCGTGAAGGTTTTTTTTTTTTCTTCTTCTTTTTTTGAATGAAACCCGAGATTCATTCATTCAAGCAGCGTCAAAGACTGAGAGAGGGGCAGCAACAGCGGCCTGGGCTCCATTTGCTGCAAATCTCCTCTAGGCGAGCCTCCTTTTGCTAAAGCCCATCTAGCCAGCAAGAGGGAAGAGCTGCAGGACAAATGGAGATTGATTATATATCGAGTAAGAAGACTGGGCTTGACAGCTTTTTCTTTGGCAAACCTCTACCATGCCGTATTAAAGCACAAAACCTAACCATGAGAATGAGCGGGATGCCGCTTGAATGAAGGATAGCACCAAATGGAAAGTTATCCATCTAGATTTAGTGTGAAAACACAAGCGTAATCTCTGCGGAAACAAGCAGCTCCATGAAGTCTGATTTTCCGTGCGTCTCCTCGCCGGTGTCCAACAACGGGACTGCTTCCACGTCGCAGCGTCCCCCCCCCAGCAGCAAGGGCAGTAATCTGGGACTCTCTAGCAGCCTGCTTTTTTGTTTTTTTCATGAAACGTATGGTGACTTAGTATCTCTGAACATCATCTGTCAAATCTGCTCAAAACTGGCCAGCGCGTTCAGAAGTTGTTAGAAAGGGGTGTGTGTGTGTGCGGGGGGGGAACAGACTGGCAGAGGGGCGATCAGTACAACACGAGCTCCGTTTTCTTAGGAAACGGCTTAGAAATGCAGCAACTCATTTTTTCCTCTCCATCACAGTTTATAGGCACAAATATAAAAGACATTGGCTTTTGAAGGAGCTGCGTTTCCATGAAAGTTTTACCGGCTCCTGAACAACGTGAGATGAATACGATGCCCTATGCAACGATCGTGAAACAGTTCTGAATTTCAAGTTGGCTCCCGACAATTATGTGAATATATGAACCACATTCAAACTCACCAGATGAATTCAATCAGCACTGTGCAAATATCGCATACATAATCTATTAGTTTACCCCAAAGAAACTGAAGCATTGAATTCAAGCAGAATGAAGTCATCAGTAATAAAAAAAAAGAAACCGATAAGGCAATATTAAAAAAAAAAAAAAAACAACACAATTTTCCGAGATTTGCAGAGAAGATCATACGCTGACTGTAAACTATTCTCTCATCTGCCTATAAATACGTAATTAAAAAATATTGGTTTGATCAGATAGCAGTTCTCAGACAGGGAAACACTAGATGAATACCGGTTCACGTGTTTAGGATGCCTAACTATTCACACTGACGAGGAACCTGAACTCACAGAAGAAACGTTAACACCACCACTGCAGTCCAAGTCGATTCATTTTAAGCAGACTTAGGGAAGCTTTTCACACAGCCCAGCAAGGACGGGAGACAGACTCCTCCCACAGCAGCTCTGCGCTTAACGTAGCGCTCCCGCCTTGAGGGGACAGACACGCTGCAGTCCTCGTCACGCCTGCAGCCTCGTGCCAGCCTCCCTCCTCGGCGCCGCGCCGCAAGCCCTCCGCCCAGGGCCCCCCCTGGCCGCCCAGCACGCACACGCGCTCGCAGGCCCAACTGACCGACCCACCACAGACCGGCGAGGGAAGCGGCCGACTCCGCGACTGCTTTCAGGACGGTTTTCTGCAAGGAGAGCGACTCAGGAGGGGCCGATGCTGCGGCGGGACCTGAAGCTTTGGGGGCAAGTTTTTAAGGAACGTCCAGGCGGGGAAAAAAAATCTCTCTGAGAAACTTTACGCAGATTTTAGTGACGGTTCAGATGCAAAAACCCCTCCAAAACCCCAAGCACCGAGTAATCTTCAGAGGAGGAGGAGTTCAACAGCTTCAATAAGCTGCACATACTGCAAGGACTTTTTTTCCTGGGGAAATTTAGAAAAAAAATATATAGCTATCTCAGATGAACCATCGTTGGCAGAGCCACTACACAGGTCCCGCTTCGCTTACTGCAACTGTAAAGAGAATTTATTTATTTTTTTATTTTATTTTTATTTTTTTAAAGTTTGCTGGAAGTCAGATACCCTAACTGCTTTACAGCAGCGGGCTCTGGGTTGCGGTGAGGAACCACTGACAGTAGCAGAAAGTCTCCTACTATTTCATCCATTTGGATTAGAGTCTTAACTTGTGCTTCTCGCAGATGCTCTGTCTGCAAAACATGACTGATAATATTCTCTTCCTCCACTATTATATACTCATGATGTTACAAAAGAAAATTGCTCTAGAGCTGCTGTCATGAGAGCTCCCCAGTCCTATTTTCTGGATTTGGATCAGTCTGTGTGACCCAACCACTAGCTCACATACACTTTCAAAGGCATTTCTTAGCCCCAGCCTACTGGAAAAAGGCAAAAGGTTTACACATCTGTGATGGGGAAACTAAAATCCTGAATGCAATTGCCCTGGTTTCTACTCCCAGGAGTTTTGGGTGCCCACTGACTTTCTGGTCAGGTGGCCCCCTGGTTACCTGTCTTGGCTGGGTTGCTTCTCACCATGCAAGAGTCTCCTGTCTTAGAGGAGCACAGATTTTAAAAGCTTTTCCTCCATGTGCTGCGAACTGGGAAGAGAGGGTATCTATGCTCTTGCATGTCCCCTACTGGCAGGGGAACACAGTGCTTTCGCAAAGAAAAGACAGGCAAGGCCGACGGGCTCCGACTGCCCCATTGCACCTCAAAGACTGCCCAGAAGGTACCGAAGATCTGCTACGAAACGGCCGTTTGAGCATGCAGTCCGAATAGGCGTCCCAAAACAAAATGGAAATGAGAATTTGGCAAGGCTTTTTCTCAAACTCCCTCTAACGTCGTCTGAAACGTGACTGCAAAATTTCATTCCATCATCTCTGTAGAGCTGGACGAGCAAGCACCATAGCAGTACCGTGGCGTTCCTAACATGAAAGATGAGTTATTTTTTTCAATGAATCAAAGCATCATCATCATCAGTATTTAATATATACGCTATGGCTTAGCTTCTGCGCAAAAATATCCTCGCCGTTCTTCCTGTGAGTAACTAAGCTGGATTTCAATCATTCAGGTCAGAAACGCCATTTTTCAAATTAGTGACTTCTTACTGCATCTCTCTAGATAGTACAAAATTAAAAACAAGTGTCACATGTACAGACTAAGACGAACCACTTAAAGCTATATATAAACACACATTTTCAGAGGCAATAAACATTTTGTTTCCAGTGGTTTCCCTAAATGCACTAATACTGCACAGGGCTCTTTTGCCAGCCTCTTATTTCCAGCACTGATTTCACCCAGCTGACTGTCAGCCTCTAAACAACTTGTGTTTCCACTTTGGAAAAAGAAGAAAAGAAAAGTTATTCTTCTAGTGAATTTTCCATTAACAAACAACACAACACAAAACTCGATTCACAATGACTCAAGAGAACGGACAATCTTCCGGTCACAATCCTCTACAAAACAGAGCTGATTTTACATACTGAACGGCACTTACTGGTCTGCACGGAGAGCACAATATAAGAGCAAGTAAGAGAATACTGCACTTATGGCAAAACTTCCATTTTGGAGTTGTAACAAATGAATATTCACGGACATTATTCTTTCAGTTCCAGCACTTGTTTTTTCCTGCCCTGAAGTATTACCTTGCTCAGGAAGATATTTCTGCAACCCTAATAGTAGGGAGGAATAAAAAGAAGAGTGGAAAGTGATGAAGAGAAAACCAGTGATAACAACATAACTCCACAATATTTCAGTTTTCATCTTTGTCACCCACCAAGGGAAAGCGAGTTTAGCAAGAAAAGACCGTTTGCTGCTTTCACACGCGCTTGAGTAAATGCACGACATTGCAATAAAAGACTTGTCGGAAATACCTCATTGACAGTACCTATATGGCCCTGTAGGCTCTGGGATCATCTCTGACGGGACTGTCCTGAAAGGGTCCGCACAGATGGGCTGACAGAGAAGCAGTAGGCGGATATGTTTCTCTCCATCCATGTGTGTGTGCAAACACATACAAAGTTAAGGCTCGCAGACAAACTGCAGGAAACTGGACTTCACTGAAGTAGCTGTTTACATTTATTTGGACTGGCATACTCAAGTCCCCGAGTCGCACTCCGCTTTACAATTCTTTAAGACAGAGGCTTAACTACTCTTTGGTGGAACATACGCTGTCACCTTCCAATTCTGTAGGCTAACATAAAAGCAGTACAACCACTTATGTCCAAAAGGTCAAAGACTCCTAGGGCAGCACATGACTACCATTTGTCTGGATGTAAATTGAGTCCTATTGACCCTGTACCATCACTACTGACCCCTTGACATTAGGAGCTTAGAGGAGAGAAAGACGACAATATTCTTAGGT